GAGAGATCTTTTAGTTCAAAATGTTTGTAAAGGTAGGATCTCTACTATTTTTTTTAGATTGAGCTTTTGCTTGGATTCTTTTTTCTTTTTAAGATTTCGCAATGTTGTATGCTGTGATCCTTGGATTTGTAGTAATTTCAAACACTAGAAGCATCTTTGTACACAAAAGAAAAATAAGTTTTTTCTACTTTGAGAAAAGGTGACAATATCGAATCATTTTTAACTTGAACAAGATTTTTGCGTTCGAGTTTAGTTTTATTTCATATTTAACTTCCAAGACCGGTATATCAATGATTTCTCCTAAGGGATTGAATTTAGACTTGACGGCCAACAAAAACTTATTAAAAGATTTTTCTGTGAAGCTAAGAATATCGGTGTTTGTGATTTTTTTATCACTCAAGTTTATAGTTCTGGAAATTATTGGATAATTCCTTATACATATGTTATATATTTTTTCAAGAAATCTTCCAAGAGTACAACAGAATCGAAAAAATTTCCAAACGTTTTACTTTCTTATCATGAAAGTAAAAGGCGCAGTTATTGTCCAGATGACTGACAACTGTATTCACATCAGAGTCTGCTCTATTTCCGAAGCTGCCCAGGGCTAAGCCCAGAGTTTCTGGATCTTCATTTCTTTAGAGGATTGTGATAGGGTTTCTGATTGGGTTTTTATTAATCAAGTTTTTGACAGACACCCTTTTGATTCCTTGAAGCTTTGGTTTAGCTTGTTAGGATAGATGGCCTTGTTTTTTATAGGTTTCCCCATGCTGTTGCAAGCTAGTTTTGTTTACTTTTTTAATAGTATGGATTGAATCTAAATAGTTTTTAAAAAAATGGAAAACAAAAAAGAGGGGGGGAAATACGAATTTTCAAAAAATATATAGAAAGCAAGTTCAACAAGTACTTTTACAGCTACAGAAACAACAACACATAGGATTAGAAAAACTTTTTCCGTAATTACATCAGATTCAGCAACACGTACTTGTGGCTATTGTAGACAGTTTATCATAAATATAGCCACTCGATTCACATAATTCAAAGTAAAACATTGGATTTGAATCATTTTGTGATTTAACACCAACTAAGCAGTATTTTATTTAGGCGTGTAAAGATCTTTTTTCTAAATTTCCTTCAACACAAATAAGCATTCTCTCACAAGATAATATATTACCGCCCAAAAAACAAGAACTAGAGGGTGACCAAAAAAACATAACTGAATCTCAAGAAGAAATGCAAAAAATAGAAAACCAATCAAAGAGAATTATAAGAATTGTTTAGTTGCAAGTACAGGGTCATAATTGCCAAAGATGCCTGACTATCCAACAAAAACAACAACCAAGTACTGTTTTTTGGCACATTTAATTTTACTTTGGATTGATTCTTTCATTGAACAAATCTAGGGAAATAAGTTTTTATAATATAGTTTACTGTATCGGGTTTTTTGTTTTCTGAAATTCCTAGGTTTATTTCATATCTATATCTTGATTAATAATGTAACAATAAACTAAACAATATCTTAAAATACAAAAACAATGTATATTATAGTAACAAAGAATTTAATAATTGTATAAAAAGTGCATTTTTTTTGTGTTTTTTGAAATTTGAGTGCGTTTTCTTGTATTTCCCCCCATCTAAAATATTTTTATTTATTGTTTTTTACACCATACAAATAGGTGTGGTCACTTGATGGCCAACAAAAAAAATGACTATATACTAATTATTCTTTTTCGCAAGTGGACATAATATTAAAATATCTGGTTTTTAGAACAGCGCTAGTAGTATAGAGGTAAAATAGATGCTTCCCAAGCATTTGTCCCGGGTTCGATTCCCGGCTGGCGCA